TTCGATTGAGGAGAAAAATTACACCTATACATACTTTCGAGTTTCTACGATATTTGAGACCTGATGGAAGAACATGTTTTGTTCACTCTCATTTAATAAAATGTTTTAGGAATTTTAATTATTCGAATGGGGACTATTTCTTATAATATCACATTACTTTATTATATCGAACAAGTTCAAGTAAGGTTTCAACAAGAAATAAATCATATACAACTGGTACTAATGCTGCTAAAGCTAAATAAAGAATTTTAATGATAACTTATTTTTCTCGAAAATATTTTTTTTGTTTTTACTTCCTATCATGTGTTTCAAGTTTATGTTCGCTTGCTAATAATTAATCAGAATGCTTTATTAAATCTTGTACTTAAATAACTTGTTTTGAATGAAGTGTATCATGTGATAACATAACAAGAAACTTAGCAATACTATAAATAAAATGTGATGATATATCATAATCTGGTATAGTTTCTTCAATCATTTCCAGTTGATAGATTATATGAGTAAGAAAATGCTGTTTAAAAAATAAACAAAAAGATTAAAAATATAACGAAAATTCATCAGCATTTAATCAACTATAATTAACACGAATTAAAAGTAATTGAACAAGTAAATCGAGTTCAATAAAAACTAAAATAGAAAACAAAAAAAAACAGAATAGATCAAATTCGTTTTTTTTTTGTTTATTTTACTCTCGCATTGCACTATATTCTATGGATTGATCACTATTTATATTTGATATATAACGTGAACCAAATAAAATAAATAATCAATTGTCGAATAGTTATTGTATGAATATTATTTAAAGAATTATTTATTGGTACTTGTGAGGTAACAATTGAATATTTTGTTTCAGCAGATGATGATGAAACGATTGCTAATTAGTTTAGGTTTAATGAAAACTAAATTAAAAGAATATTTTCAAATGAATGTTGTGTTAACAGAAAAAAAACATAATTTTCAAATTTCGAATTTCAAGAGACAACCAAATGAAAAGATGTGGCACTTTCACAATAAACTATTCTCTCATTAAAACCGTCAATATTTGCAAAATCAATTTTTCTGTTACTATGATATTCTTATATTGAAATTTTCTTTTTCTGGATTAGACTATTCCTGAAATCTTGATTATAAGATTTCCATCTAAAATTCTGTCCACAGACAAGTTTTGGATAAGAGACTATCACAGAGTATTTCTTTTCTTGACCTGCCCTAAGAACTGGACATAGGGGGTAGACAGAGTAGAATAATACTTATAAAGTGAGTATGTCTATTACAAGATTTTAAGTTTCAATAAAATAATGATATTCTCAGGTACTTTTAGTGACTAAACCCCATCCTAGAAAAAAGAAGAAAGTAATTTTAGTTGCAAAAGAACATTTATTTTTTACTAGGGTCACATTTTCTTTACTTTATTTTATAAATATAAGTACAATTTTTATATTAATAAAATAAAAATCAGTAAATTTTTTATATTTTTTAAATCAAGATTAAAATTTTTTTTACTTTTCTAAAAATAAAAAAAAATTAAGATAAATGAAATCTTCATATTTACAAAATAAAAATATAGATTTTTTTCTTATTTACCACCTTTAGATAAAGTAAAGAAAACAAAAAATAAATAAAGAAGAAACCTCTTCTATGAGAATTTCATCTTTAATTTTTCACCAAGTAGCTCACCAAAAAAGTGCGACACCATAGATGGAAATTGTTTCATGTATTCGTTTGATTTTCTAATGATATGACATGTCGAAGTGATATTCATGACAAGAAAGAATATTGCTTCACATATCCAGTTGTTATACTATGTATTTGTCTATTTATCTATAACATAGCAAATCTTTCTTTATTCTTTAATTTTCAAAAATAAACAATTCACCTATCTTCATTTTATAAATATAAAGATTTATTTTTATTTATACTTATTCTTTCCTATAATGCAAATAAAGTTATAACTGAAAAACAAAGTTTTGTTGTGCTGAATTTCATAAAGTCAGCAGAATTTTCGACATCAAATTTTAAAGAACTCATATGTCTTCTGTTATGTTTTATGAAATTTTTTAAGTGCGTCGTGGTCTTTTAAAATAAAATATGATCTTCTATTCTTGACTTGTGTTTGATAAAAATCGACCATCTTTTAATTTCATCGATTAAAATTATGTCTTCTGAATGAAAGACAACTTTTCTTTCTTGTAGTTTTTTCTGTGCTCATCAAATTTTTAAGGAAGTAGTCAGTTCATATTCAGATTTCTTAAGAGATGTAGCAGAAAAAAAAACTCGATTACGTTTCTAATCAACTTCATTTTATAAACAAGGTTTAATTCATTAAAAATTATTTGTGAAATGACAATCAAAATGAATTGAAGATGAAATAATTAGATTAAAATCGACTAAAAGCATTCGCATTTTAATCAATTGTTTAATCAGAAAAACTAAACTGGAATTAGCCTTTTCTTTAAATTTTTTTGGCATAGGATAAACGTTTTTGCCCTGCCAGCCAGTTTCTGGTTCAGACCCAATACGACATCCTAAAGGTTTTAGCTCAACCAATTAGTAGAAGAAGAGTAATAACTGAAATTTTCTAACTAATATGTACTATTTAAAAGAAGTTTTACCTCTTTTGTACATTGAACGTTGATTTAAAATAATTAAGTGTTTCTTCCAAATTTTTTAATAAATCTCGTGTAGAAATAAGACTTACTACTGATTTTATAGAAAATAATGTTGTTGAAAGTAATCGTTCAAAATTAACTTTTGTATCTTTGTTTGTGTTTGATATTATTGATGAATCTTTATCATTCTCTATAACAAAAAAAAACAAATGAATTCATTCAGACAAGACATGATCCAATACATTCTTCAAATCTAAAACTTTAGAACTCCTTTCTTCTACGAAAGTTGAAATATCAATTATAGAAAATGATCTTCTGTCCAAAAAAAATGATGATTGTGAAGTTATTTGTTAAGATCTGATAAGTATTCAAATAAAAAGAAAGAATTCAAAGAAACATAATAAATATCTTTTCTTTTCTTTACTTCAAAATATTAAATTATTATTATTATCGAGTAATAATTGTAAATTATTAAGATCATTTCATATAAATAGATGTATAAGTAAACAAAGTTCATCATATTGATTATGAAAAAAAAATGATCGAATTGTTGTTGATCCTAAAATATTTGAAAGAGCATAAATACCTTCTAAACATTCAACTTATATAGAAGACAAAAATAACAAACAATTTATATTCGAGTGGATGTTTGAGCTAAACAATCAAGTATTGATGTTGGTAAACATGATATTGTTTCATATTGCATTCCATCATTGAATATAATTACAGAAGTATTTGTTTGTTACAATGAATAATGAATTTTATGCATCCATTGACAGGAAGAATTGATCCATTTAGGTAAATAATGTATTGACCATTGATATACTAAAAAAATGAATTGTGATCAATAAACCTTAAAATCAAAAAGTAGCTAGTAGCTAACTTAATACAATAAAATCGACTTATGCATTCAACTTCAAAAATAAAACTATCTAGTTAACTAACATCTCTACAATTGACATACTTAGCAAAAGTTAAAGTAGCTGCTGGACGAACACTTGTATCATCATCAGTAAGAAATAGAAAGATAGTGTCAATACAATGATCAAGTCATGATCGATTCTGAAAATAAAAGTAAAACAAAAAAAAAACAAGATATTGTTTTTATCTTCTATATGTGATTAGTTTTAGTTTACTGTTTTTTTTATCTGTTATTGTTGTTGTTCAAGATAAGTTAGTATTCAAGAAAATCAATATTCCGCACAATTTGAGCTAGAGCAACCTATTTTATACACATAAATAGTGGATTGTAATCATAAGTTTCATTTGTCTACTTTAGCAAGAATATAAGAACTTGTACTATGTTGAGTAGAATCTTCTAATAGTTCAATTCCTATGGTTGTAAATGTATAACATGTGCATTATTATCCTAAAGACATAATCGAAATGTAGAAAGTAATTCTGCTAATATACCTAATTGAATATATTTAAAAACAAAAAGAAAAAATATTTTTATCAAAAATAAGAGACGATTTAATATTCTAATCTGACCTTGAACTACCTTGTGAATCAATTGATACAAGTGAATATTCATTAATAAAAGAATTATTAAATGAATTTGATAATGATAATAGTCTTAAAAGATGAATTGTTCTTTTTAATTAATGTAGCAAGGAAAGAAATTTGCATATGTATCACATAAATGTAGATCGTCTATCTCGAAGTTCGATAGATTTTAATGCATTACAAGTCATATAGAGATAAGAATTGCATATCAATTAGAAAATTTTTATTTAATCAGAAATCTTCAAAGATTAAAGAAAAACTCATTCGAGAGTACAATTGATCTCATATCATAATGAAAAACCGAACATCTCTTTCGTACTAGATATGTACAGAATTCGTACTTTAACTTCGAACTTTGCTTTTGAGGTAATTATGTGATTGTATAATTTCAATCGCTGATATATAAAGACTCTAAAACGTTTGTATGTCTAACCTACTTAGTAAAGTGTTCTACTTGATATATTTTCGAGTCTGATAATATTCTAGTCTTTTGTTGGTTTCAAAAAAATTAAAATTTCATATCGTTTTGTTTCAACAATTCAATAGTAAAATCTTCATATCTATCAGATAACTTTCACTAAAACTTTGAGACCATAGCCAATTGAAGCCACGTTAACTAAACTCTGTTACAAGCTCCTTCATCAGATTTATCCTATTCATCTGAGTCCTCCTACTGTTACAACATTGAAAATAATTTTGGATTATAAAATAAATGTATTTTACTGAACTGAAACTTTACAAAAAAGAAAGTCTCAAACAAGCATTAAACATACTTACAGTTGGATAATCAGATTATTAACACATTGAGCAAATGTCTAATTGGAAAAAAAAACATAATTGATTAACAAGTTTAGCAACTGATGTTTGTTTTTCATTATTAATCATTGATTTTGAATATAATTCATCATTCATTTTATATACTAAAATATCGTGTTGTTTATTAATTTCAATAAATCAACGTTGATATGTTGAATAATCTATTATTTTAGAAAAAATAAAAACTTGTTGTTCTCTTTTCACAATATTTACCTGTGTTTAATATGTGACTAATACAAGTTACTTCTATAGATCCAATTTAAATTGAAATTAATAATTGATCAAAATCAAATAAATTTAAATATAATTTCATGTGTTTCCAATGAATTTCATATTACATTATGATCTTTTATGTTGTAAACAAATATAAAATATCATATCAACATATTAAAAAATAAATATTTACATAGAAAATAAAATCATTCATTATTTATCAAATACTGATTGAAAGATGTTGTTCATTTGTACTAATATTTCTAGTTCTTGTTGTTGATCGTTGACTTTTTCTTGATGATGATTGAAATTTTTTGATATTTAATTTCAGATCACCAATTATTAAAATTTTACTATGATTTTGATTATAATGCTCAAATAATTGATCTGTTAAAATAAAAGACAAATTATAATTAATTGAAATAATTATTTGAAAGAAAACTTACCAATTACATTTATCATTAGAAAACGTGCTATATTCATGGGATAACATATTGACTGAATAGGACATGAGAGGTTCCTGAAAATAATTTATTATTAATATTAGGAAAAAAAAAGAAAAATTCATTCTCACTCAACTTCATACCGTAACTATAACGATTGTCAGTGAATCAACTATGACTAATTTATTTCATTTCTCATTGATATTTAATGATAAATAAAATTTTATTATTCTTACTGCAAATGATGAACAGTTTCTCAACCGGTATTTCGTCGAATAGTATGAGACTACCTATTCTACAATCATTTCCTATGTTTCTATTCAATCGCATAACTTTTTTCTGATTACTTCTTTAGAAGAAGTTTCTTAGATGACAAGAATTTTCTTTTTTACTTACTTTGATTTTTTCATCATTAATTGATCAACCAAGAATATAAAAAATAAGTTCATTATATTCTAATAAAATGGTTGAATCTTTTTCGAATGTATTGCAATTGCTGATTCGTCAAATCGCCATAGAACATCTAACTGAAATTGAAATAAAACAAACCTTCGAATGCTTTTTATTCAACATTAGGATTATCTTTTATAATCCTTTATTATAATTCATACAAAATTATTAAAAAAAAAGAATTTCTTTTTATAATACTTTTACAATAGTCGTAACTGATTTAAAATTATTTTCACCTTTATCTCTAGATCAAAAAAAACTTTCGATAATATGTTGTTGTTGAAAATAATTTTAAAACTTCAAGTGATTTACTTAGTTTATCCATTTTGTTTAATTTATATTGAATTCATTTATTTTAAAGCTAAATAAATAAGTTTAAACATTTTTTGATAATCATAATAAATGAATGAATAGTTGACGGAAAAAGTCTAACGTCGATTGAATATTCACTTTCATCAATGAATGAACGAAAAACTATTCTACAAATCTTTATATTAGATCCATAATTTTTACTGTAAATTATTATTTAAAAAAAATCAACTACTGCACTTGTTCTATTTGAACTTCTGTTTTATTATATTATATTCAATCAATATGATCGTAAAATAGTATTTTTGTAAAACGTTATGTAATAAGTAACAAAATGATTAAATTTATAAAAATTTCTTTTTCATTTTCTTCTTTCAATTATATCTTATATATGCGTATGTTACTAATCAAAGAGAATAGTCGATAATTTTTTTTTTTGTGTTCTTCTTTCGTTCAATCATCACTCGTATAATATGATATTGAGTGCACGACATCTCATTTGTTCTTACACATTCCAGATGACAAGAAAAATAAATTGAACATAACATGTGTAAAGACGACATAGATATCGTGCACTCAATATCACAGCATGCGTTAAAACAACCGATTGTCATCATACGCTGCGTGTATTAAAATTCAGTCGACGTCGTCTTCCTTCGCCTTTCTATGTTTCTTCTTCTCGTTCTTCGTAACAGAAGAAAAAAAAATTTAAAAGAAACGGAGCTGTTGAGGGTGGCTCTAAAACAAAATGAACCTTCCCAGGGATATCCGACGT